ATTCACGTCTCTGTTGTTTGTGAAATGGAACGACTCCGCGAATTCCGCACTGACGAGGAGTGTCCATTTCACCCCAAATCGCATGGGGCCCATCTGGCAGAGTAGAAAATGATGCAAGATAATTTCTTCATGGTCTCAGACTGGCGTCTTGCAGGCACAGAGGCGACTAAATTGTGTGATGCTGTGGACTACAGTTAAAGGGTCACGGATTATTTTTTACCGGGCACTACTTGTTATCTCTTCATTCACACCAGGACAGGTGACTAAGAGAAAAACAAGCGTAACGACAAGGGGATTCTGCAAACAGAAATGGTATAAATGCTGAAAAAGATATTGATTCAGCAACGCTCCTGGTGGTGATACACTGAAATGATGCCGAATACGCATTGCAGTGAATCCCCATTCCAGATACATGTAGACTAGTTCAGTGTGCGACGTATGCAATCGTTCATTGAGTCAATAAACGAGAAGTGAACAGAGCTTCGCTGGGAAAACTGACTCAATTTTCTTCAGTACACTTGACGTAGGTGCTACGAGCTCCAAAGTTTAACAGGGAGAAATGAAGTTTAAACGCCACAGAGCGGTATATATATATATATAGATGTGTATATATATATATATACATATATTGATGCATATACTTTAAATAAGTTTGTCCTCACCTAATGAGAAGAGAAGCTAGACGGATGTCTAATAGACGTCTTTAAGGATTTTTGGGCATTTCTGAAGCGAGGAGTTCATATGGGCAATATTTTACTTGACAGCTATCATTCGATATAAATATAGGGCAGTGGTCAAGGGTGTATTGATAATCAAATGATACAGGAGGACATATATATCAATACTAAAACAACAAATAGAAGTACATTTCTGCTAGTGATTCTTGCAGACGATAGACAGGACTGCGGTTGAACTGAGTAATCTCCATTTCTAAATCATCATATAGTTCTACCGCTGTTTCCAATTGCCATGGTTTCATAGTAGACAGATCAGCATTCCGTAAGATCTAAGATATTGTTTCCTTTTTTTCAAAGTATCTGAAGGCTTCAGTCGAATTACGCTCGACACAAGTTGCAATCATCTCTTGTCTTGCGGTGACCAAATCTACCGTTCTCTAAGGTATCATTTTATCTATTCTTATCTCCCATACGATCAAACCACCTTGCAGTTTGATTGTGTAATGCAGATAATTTATTGTTGTTAATTTAAGAGACTAATATTCAGCAAAGTAAATGATTGCCCGATAATAGTTCGTACGTTCAACTGAATTCGTGATCACAGAATCCACGTATCAGCGGTTTGCGTAAGACGATCTTCGCTACGGCCACACGGAGATGAATCGGTGGAAGTGTAGCTCGTGGGTACCGGTCTAACCTGATTTGCAATAAACCAAATAAATCGAATGAGAAATGCATTTGTTGACTCACAGAAATGTCGACCGATTCGTCTTTTTTTGTGACAGTTATCTTCGAATGATTGCCAGCATCTGAAATGCTGATATTTCTCACCCACGGAGTGCGATACAATACCAATTTGACCGACTGACATTCGAGCTGAGACTGTTCAGTTTGCGCAATGTTTACTTTAAACTGAACTACGTCACTGCATTGACAAAACAAGAAGAGGAAATAAGCATAGAGTACATTGAGAACATGAGCTCAAGTGAATGCAGAATAACCAAAAAATAGCTTCATGCTAGTGAGGGGTGGAATTTGAACGAGTTTCCCGCAAAATCAGGGGATACAGAAACTATAACACACAGTTCAAATAAGAAAATAAAATCGGCGGCACAATGGGAAATTAGCATTGATTATTGTTCAATGCACGGAAGTACAGTAAGGTACGGCAGGATACTTTTTCTGTATGTGGTGTTTCATGTACTGAGGAGTTTATAATGGTACAGGATATGTACGTTAGACACACATACAAGAAGCTCTTTATGCTTTAGGTGATTCTCATTCCTGCCGACTCTATTCAAAGCCCTATGAAATGCATCACTCTCCGTATTCACACAATAAAACCAATCAGGACATTTCTGTCTACACAAGGTTTGCGGCAAATACATTTGATGAGTGTGGAAATTAGAATGGGATTTTGTTCCTATAAATCGGGGGAGAGTTGACTCAATAAGGAAGAATACAAGAGACCACAAATTTGGAAATCAAATTCGACCGAAGAGTCCGATTCACAAGCGAGAAATCAAATTACGATCTCGTTTATAAATAACATTTGCGTGGCTGTTTTTGCACAGGATATTTGACAAAATTGCACAACTGTATTTTCCAAACAAAATTCAGCTTTGCAAGAAAAAGGATACAAGTGCAGATGTTGAAACAGAAAGCTTAATGCAGCGGTGAAGGAATGGATTAAAGACCTTGTTTGGACTGGCGGCAATACACATTGTTACTCGCGAGGCACCCAGTGAACAGCACGCTTGGATGCAATGAACAGCGAATGGATCGGCAGGTTCGTTCTGAACAAAAATAACAATAATGTCCTGAGATGCAACAAGCTTGACGTTATGATTGTATGGGATGACCTGGGTTATGTAAGCAAAGTAGTTTGGATTTAACTTGCCCGGGATAAGCATCGATTGCCGAACTGCGTATCACTGTGTCAAGCGAAGCCTTGAGATTCGTGGTCTCTTCGATTGATAGCTTAAATTTTTCTTCACAAGGTACATCTCCTGCCGTCTTCTTTATGATCAATATTTTCTGACCGTTTTCCGTGGCCATATCCACCATTCGTATGGAAATTTCGAATGCGATCACTTCTCCCAAGTTCTTTTTTCTGAGTTCTGTGAAAAGATGTAGAAAGAACTACAGTAGATAAGCAAAGGTCTTGGGAGGAAATTGATTCTTTGTATAGGTTTAGACAAAACTTATTCTCGTTCAAAATTGCAGGAAATAATACCTACCTTCAAGTTTCTTTGCATCCACAGAAAATGTCATCCTGTTCATTTGAGATCCATTGAAGTCAGCAGATAAGGTGGTTTCATTTGTCAAATCAGCCACATTTTCTCCAATCATCATGGAAATGAGACTGAGATGACAGTAGGAGATGTTTCTCGTCGAAGTTCCCTTACACCAAATTGAAAATGACATTTTTTCAGGACCACCAGCCTGAAGTATGTCAGCATTAACGATCACATGCTTTGGGCGGTTTATCAGAATGGTTTCTTCTGCATCTTTCGGTTTTAGTGCAATCAACTGACAAAGCTAAAAAACGCGGAAATTACATCAAACATTGATGAAAATATTCAACACAAATAAGATCCCGTGAACAAAATGCATGATTTACACAAATGCGAATCTTCATGACAGCCTGCAACTGTTCCGTCAGATTACCAATCTGCTAGTGACTGTCCAATTTATCAAGTCTGAAAGGTATTAAATGCCTCAATATATATACGCTGCTATCTTTACCATTCAAAGTGATGCGAGCATGCAAAACAAACTTTGTTAAACTGTTAGTAAATAAAGATCCAGCTGATAAGAGTTTTCGTAAAAATGTCTGTATACACATCAAACTTGATCACTATCATTGCAAAACTTGGAACTGAAATCACTCAATATAATCACATGCATTGATGTCACGAGTGACTCAGTAGAAATATCTGCTTACTTTATTGACTGTCCGCTTTTGTCTTGCGAGAGGAAGTTCATTCATGATGGGGGCTTGCAGCAGTGCTACCCGGGACCGTTGGAGACTTCGGTGATCACTGGTTGTCACACATTCGACATGTGGTACGGATTTGTCGAGTAAAACTGTGCCACTAACCGCTATTCCGATCTGCGATGTGTTCAATCGAAAGAAAGAAAGACCATTGGCTGTATGTGCAGTTGATAAATCGTCATTTGAAACAATTCTGTCATGTTTCTTCTTCGGTCGAAGAAAAGGTAATAACCGTTTAGACTGACTTCAAATTGCGGAGAATATTAGACATTCACCAGACTAAGTTTCTCCACATTCGTATTTATGTCCCCATGACTACTTATCTACCTGTTCATTATGATATTTTATTTATATGGTTGGTTTTATAACTCGGTCTTTCTCGCACAAATCATCGCCGGGGACACGTGGACGCTGGTTCGTTGTACGTTTATTTTTTACCGTGGAATACTGTTCGCGCGTTACGGAATACTATCTCTCTCTACAGAGATCAATATAAAATCAGGTACTTGAACAGAGAACATAGCACTGCGGTGCTGCGCAAGTTATTTAGGGAATACTCACCATATCTCTTCAAATGCATACGATAGTCGAAAATTATAATGCAAAGTGACAAGGTACGTGTTCCTTGGAAGACCATGAAGCAAAAATGTAGCGCGTGCGAATCAGTTTTTCTACACAGGCAACAGAAACCGGCCTCTTTAGTCAAGCTGCCGCGTCCATTATCTAACCAACCTCATTAACTATACCAATTCGCCTATGAGTGCTAAGCTGTGTTCCTAAGTACAATCGAGAGTCGGATTAGATAGAATGTAGGCAAACATACTTTTGTCTGGGTGAATCTACTAGTGACTGAATCACGTCAAAAAGAGCAAGGTTCGAGAGAACGCCAACTTAGCTTTATTAATTCCTCGTCACATGTTGGATAATAGAGATCAAATGAACGTGACCGATACATTCAGAAATATTGTCGTTGTCTGATCCCCTGAGAAGCTCCAGTTTGCATGTGTGACCCCGAAATATGCAAGCAGAATTGGTTAATTGTCATTCTAGTCCGTAGCTTTACATAGGTGGTCAACTGTAACACCAACAGCTCACTTACGGTAACTCTAACGTGTTAGTTTCCTTTATATTTTATATATTATATATATATATTATATCATAGTGAAATAAAGCATGCAATATTGTGCTGTTCTGTTCTCCATTGAACTTTTTGTTGAAAAAAACGATCGTTCTGATTTCAGTCACTAGATGATGAATGGGGCAAGTGGAATTCCTGGACGAGTCGAAATGGCGTCCATAGTACGAGTGTGGAACGGCAAGCATCCTACTCATATGAAGTGGAACCAGTTTGATCTATGCACACCGACAGACTGTCAGTTGTCCTGCAGACAATCAAACCAATAAAGAGAAAATTGTGATAAGAAGAGCGGTTCAGCTAGAGAAAGCTTGCTTGTTTGTGACCTACAATCATCCGATTTGAAGGTTACAGCCTGGTCTACATAATTCAGTTTGAAAGCCAATAATTCAAGTGCCAGGAATTGTCTTTTCTCCGTTCAAAAGGAATGAAACACGAAAATTTCTGTTCATAAGTATGTCATTCGATGAGGTGAAAAGAAAACTGTTTCATTCTGTGCCAAAATTATAGGAACATCTCTGAAATTAGGAAACATTTAATCAAAAACTGGGATTCATCAAGTAGATCTTCAAATTGAACATACCCAACTGTTCGAATATCCTGTCGCACACAGGGTACCAATGTCCAGATATTTGTGAACCGAGTTTGGTACTGAATGCCTGCATAAAGAAACAAGAAGTTCAATTCTCGAGTAACCTTATAAATAAGCAATCAAAATAGATTCGTTCCTAACCTTCATGAAAGTTATACGTTATTCGCTTTTACAACAAATAACAGATAAGGAACCATAATACAGAAGTCATACGTCTTAAATGAAATGTTTTGTCGCTCACATGCGATCACTTGTGACGCTGGGGAATTTCATGTCCCCGCCAATAGACTCGAGCTTCAAGTCGTTCAATATGATCCCTTCTGTAGCATTACAGGTTATACGAATCGATGGAATGCAGCCAAATTGTTGTATTGCAATCCGATAACGGAGCTCAAAGTGACGGGGAATCTTTGGAAATGCATTGGATCCAGTTGCCTCATCTTTCAGCAGTTGCCGTAGGTGGGATTCGTGATTCTAGTAAAACGAAAGTTTCGGATTAGCTTAGTCCAGTTAAACTCAACATGAGACAGTAGAATTTTGGACGTTTCTGTGCATGTTTACCGTGTATCTAAAGAGAACGTAAAAATTGTGAAACACAGAATGAAGGACAGGGTTCCTTCGAAATGCCTGCATAAAAGTCGGTTCGTTTTTAGCCACAAACAAACGGAGCGGCAACCTGTCCCATGAGAACAAACAAATGCAATTTCAACATCAATAGCCATGAAACAACTGTTTTGTTTGTATTGAATTTACATCAGCAAAAGGGAAATACCACAAAGACAGACAAAATCCATCCCATCTGAACTTAATAGAAAGCAAGGTATCTCTTTGCAGTGTCTTGTTGGAATGTGTCATGGCAATTCATTTGGCATGGCAGTAAAATATCCACCTACATTTCACGGTTGGCCACTCTAAGCCCATTCAATCAAAATACAAGTATCACTGGCAGAACAAAGAATTTCGCTAAGCTTGGCTTTTATTCTTTGGACGTTTTACCATAAAAGAATGTGACTGAGAATAGGTTGTTGGCCCCGTTTATCAAAATAACTGTATTTAGGCAAACAATTTATTATTACTTATATAATTCTATACGCGTTACCGTTACCGCCTACTTCTTCCATATCAAGCTGTTCCCTGTGATGGCTGGACATCATAGTTTCTATCAGCCAGATGCTGATCACTAGAGTTCTGAATTTGTTTCCGTTCAGTTTTTTTCAGTTGACCTTGTTCCAATCCAATGTTATTTGGAACCACATGTTCACCTAATGAATTGGAATAGAGAAGCCAAAACCACAGGTTGGCACAATAAAACCGGGATCTTTCCGCAGCATTCCTACAAATGTCAAATGCAGTTTATGATCGTTATTTTATTAGTGAGAAATGATATTTTGCTAGTACAATAAAAATATCTCAAATTGAATACGAACTAATTTCAAATGCTAACCTGATTTTCATGACAACATTACCGATTGTGATAAAGTGACAATAGGTTTTGAGAGCTGTCCATTCTTCCGTTTCACAATTTATGATTACCCATACTCGACGAGATTTATCGTGTGAAAGAATCACATTCGCCATTTGTATCAGGTTATCAGTCATTGTCCAAGCGGTACTAAGACGCTAGTATATAAATCATGGGGTAGAATTCAGGGAACTGTATAATAAAGTGCATTCTAAGCATAGGCCAATCAGCTTTGAATTGATTACTGACGATTTGATAATTTTTTAAATGAACTTAGACACCACGTATAATTGAGTGAATAATGATTCATACTAAAAAGTTCTTGGATATTGTTGACTTTATTTATCTATCCAAGTATGAAATGTAACCGTGTCACTAATCAAATTTGCAAATCACTCTTAAAAACTCACCTGATTTTCGTATGACCAGTTGATTCGTGACCAGCCAGGAGCATTGTTCGACATTTTAGAACCTACAAAGCAATCGATGTGCAAATGGACTTTCACTGTAGAATGATGTTTCTTATCTCTGGTACCCGCGTGAATGGCGACAAGATACGACTTCAGATTTAGAGGATAAGTCGCTGTCAGATATCCCGTCAAGCGATTACCCTTAATCACATGGCATGCAGGCGATCCGGGATCTCCTCAGTATTGCACCTCTTTTTCAAGAAACAAATGCTCCTTAACGCATTTTGTACCAAACGTCCTATCCTCTCCCACTGGTTCTCAATTGATTGTGAAATCAATAAGTGATGAATGAAAAGAAAAGTCCTTTCCTGTGGAAGGACGGGGTGAGTGACAAGGATGCTACGAAACTGGTGCAATTGGACCGTATCAGGTTGCATCCGTCCTCCGGTGCGTTTTGCACAACAGAACCATCGACTGACAAGGTTTGAAGGCTTCTTTGAAATCGCTAAAAGTTTGATATTACACCAGTTATTGCTTGTCCTGGAGCGTTGTTTGCGACCTGAGCCATTGCAAGAAGGAATGGCGGTTAAAGTATTAATATCAGTAAGAGCAAACAGATGATGATTTTTGGTGAAGCTCTTTTCGCTCTTGTGTTCTTTACTTCATTTTGATTATTGCCCAGACAGATCTACAGCCAACATTCCCGAAGTAGGCCGCGGTCACACAAATGTTGTCTGGTGAAATATATAAGTAGGGAAGTCGGGTTGTGGTGGAGCCGTTCGAACCGGGGCTCGCAGATAAGAGAATAACCTAACCAATCGGGTATCATTCTTTACAACGGTGCATAATAGGTCATTCATAACACCAATATAAGAGGGCCCACATTTAAATTCTGCCTTAACAACCACGTTCCTGTTTAACCCAAGATAAATAAGAACGTAATAACCCATCATCACTGAGC